CACAGGGTAAAAGGGTAAGCGGTCTTCGCTCACTGACTAATCGATGCGGCACGCATTCTACTTCCATTCAGAATCGTAGTGGCTTATTGAATGCGATGTGGCCTATACAATGACTTGCGGGGGCCAGCCGATGTACAAGTCAGTGTTCTTATCCTCCCAGACGAATATGATACCAATTTGCCGTCCCCGGAGGGTAGAAGGCTTGGTTGACTCAGGCGCAAGTCTATCCAGGGTTTGATCCCCGGCCGTGGCCGTGGTAAGCGTCCCTCCAGCCACAACTTTGCCTCCCTTTGGGATACGACCCGCATTCGCCTTCGATTTAGAACTACAGGTGTTTTGAATGGAGCTTCGCTTAAACATGGAAAGGGGTGTCTTTGATTTTTGGGCTCAGCGCTTTTACAGCCTAAAATAAGTGGGCCATCAATCAACACTTCACGACGCAATAAAACGCCTGATCGTTAATCTGCCATACATAAGTACCTTTTCTCCATTACAACAATGGGTTTTCTGCTTCCCGGACTTTTGTGGATTCCATCGATCTCCGGCTTCTTTGTCGCTCAGGAAAGCAGAAAGACCAAAACAACAGCCTAATGAAGCATTCCGCTGTCTTGATTGCCTATGAGCAAAGGGCAGGCGTAAAGGCAGCAGGGCACGTCGTACGTTGGGCAGCTCCAGCTAGGGGAGTGGTGTGTTGTCGGTGGAGGGAGGAGGGTCGTATCAGGGAAGGAAATTTCGAGGGGGAAGGTCGTATTAGGTTGGCGGAAAAGTTCTGTCACATTTTTTCAAATTAGACTTTCTTTTTACAGAGAGGCGTACAAGATCAAAATTATACAGCAATGTTATTGAGAGATCCTTGCCAGTTTTTGGACAGTTCGTGGATGCCATCGCTTAACAATGCACGCCGGCGCGACGCAAAGTTGGACATCATCTCAACTTTGACTTGGGCTCAAGTCGTGGAGGTTTTCTCGGCTGTGCAACGGTTGAATACAGGAGTTGACTAGCAGCCAGAAAGAGCAATGTCTGGACTACATCATTGCAAGGGGAGAGCCATCCAGCTCCATTGCATGAAGTACGGCTCGAACTTTTTTTTTTGACGGGGTGTGCTGCACCAGCACGTTGAAGACGGACTGTGCCGATGGATTTTGCCCTCTGCTTGACGATTCGCTTCAGATCTCGTAGCTGCCTTGCGTACGGATTGATCGAGGAGGCAGCTTCTTCATCCAGTAGTTTCCCGACCCATTCGGCTTATCTAGAGCTGAGTTACAGGTACTCCCGAACCTCACTTCGTCATTCGAACCGTAGGCTCCCGCTCTGAAGAGCTAGCGTCGTGGAAGATTGTCTGATGACTGTAGACATTGTCCTTGTGCAGCTCCATTATTTCGGCGTCGACAGCTGCCATGCTGGCGCCAGGGTGGTAGAAGAAATAGTTTAAGGAAGCGCTTGAAGGGGTCGAGGTAGCGGATAACATTCTTGTCCATAATGCAGAATAAGGATGAGCAGGAGCCGAGCCAGTGACACATAAGAAAGATCAATCCTTAATGTATAAATGCTCACATTACCGGTTAGCCCTCTTCAGGTAATAGGCGAATACTTGGGTTCAAAAAGTATGACAGAACTTTCCGCCCCTAAATATTTTGGCAAAAAATTTCGCAGGCAGTCACTTGCCCTGAACTGTAGTTGCATGAGGAGAAAGGGCACTAGTCTAATGGAAAGGTATGGGATTGCTCTCCCTACTCTCGACCAGCGCCCTCACTGCCTTTCAGGTTATAATACCTGTAAGAGATTGAGCTCACGTTGGGCTTGCAACTGAGTGTACAAAAAGTTTTATCGTGGCAGTACTTTTAGCTGCCGAAATGTAACTTTCACCATGTCTAAGAAGGAAAATACCTTGAATATCAGGTTGCGCCATGTGTTCGTCTTTCTTTGAATATTGTAAGCGAGTTCGAGCTTAACTAGTGTTGCCTCGAGTAGCGCCGCTTAATGCGCTCTAACAGAAGAGGCCTAAATCATCTACAATACCATAGTGGGGTGACCAGTTCGGACTCACCAGTTCATCGCATCTTCTCTGCTAATCACAGTCGTGCAGTCGTTACCACTGAAGTCAGTCGGGGCCTGTCGGAGGGAATTCTAGCGCTGATCGTGTCAGAAGGGATTCTGGCGCTGATGATTGAGGCCTCGGGATTCAACGTGTGGTAAGAAGGGGATGACGTTGTGCCAGAGCCCACACCCTTTGACGCATCCCGGCTCATCTGTGTGACAACCAGTGCTCCAAACTTGCTTGGGAGGCTGAAGGTACTGACTTGTGCGTTGGCAAGGGCGAAGCTCATTCTTTAGGCCAAATCGCATCCAAAACGCCCTTAAAACTCTGGAGGGGCGGCGGTAAGTGGAATAGGTAGTAACGCTCTAGAAGGGGCTTGGCAGCACCAGATGTCTTCATCATTTCTTATGATAGGGCTGAGGGATGCGCACGAGACGGATGCTGTGCCTTTGTATCCGGAGACGATCCCATTACACTTCCACTGTTCCCTGGAATCCTTTAACATTAAATCCTCTCAGGTTAAACACCCAGGCCATTTCCCAGTGATGTATAAATGACGCAGGCCAGGCCATCAAGCCCGACGGGATGCCATTTGCTTTTTGCAACCGTGCCGGTTATAAAGCAAATGAACCGAATTTCACTGAAAAATTGATGCCATGAAAAAGCGTAAAGCAATGGACGAAAATGCGAAAACAAATTACATAGAATGACGCTAGAGCTGTATGACGCCATCAATCATTAAAATGATTGGTTTCTGGAAAAAAGCGAACGGGCAGAAAAAAACAAGCAGGAAGTTGTCTGACGAGTTCGTCCCCTAGTTAGTGCAAAGTCAAGTACTGCTGCTTTATTACGGTAAATGCCGTTTGAGGCCACAGTTCGCGCTCTGAAGTTATCACAAGAATGCCGAGTTAGAGACGAAAGGCCTATCCCAGGCGGACTGGGACCGCACATCACACTAGGGCCAAGGGGCTAGTTACACTTTATCCAGTCAATTTGCTGTTCGGCAAGAGCGCTCTCAGGATCAAGCATGAATATTCGGGAGAAGTGGGGGAGCTATTTCACACAGTACTTCCACTTATTTACCAATTTTGGAGGTAGTAGAACGCAAAGTGGCCCCTGGCCTCTTGAAATTGTGCTTCTCAGTC